CACTTCACATACTCTCAAGTCTACTTTCTCTCAAGCTAAAATTATGGCAGTCTGCTTCACTTTAGTGGCACTACCTTTGCTTTCTTCCCTGGAGAACTCTGATGCATTCAGAAACTTGATATGGTGAGAGATTTTCCACACCTAAGAGCAACTTTTGATGAATGGAAACACTGCTTTAGTACCAGTGGATAAATGTTCTCTCTTGTGTGTTTGGAAGGTGGGCTAGACAATTCTGAGGCACATTTTATAGGGCTCCTCAGAAGGTCCTGGTAGAACTCTCATTCTCTATGGTGGTTAACAACTCTAGAATCCTTATCTATTCTCTTTTCCAGTGTCACTCCTATGCCTTGGTATCGCTAATCAACATAGACTACTTGCTTTGAGCTTTTCTTATAGGTTGTGCTTTCTAGAAATAATTCAGGCTTTAATACTCATATCAAATATATAAAACCTTCTTTCAAAAGGAGCCATTATAACTGATATTTTGTTTAGCATATCCAACTATCATAGAAATGAGAACATTGAAATGAACTCAGATTCTAAACAAGTTGTTCTAAAACTCAGGCTTTTTATTTTCTGGTGTACATAAAAAGTGTAAAGGAGAATAAATAAACTCTAATAAAATAAAATGTGAATAATACAAATACTGGAAAGAGTGTAAACAGAAGATACAGCTCTGTTTACAGGAACCTATCAATTTTCTCCTAGGAACAATGATATGTGAAAGATATTAATAGTTATATTAGGAACAAAATCCTCGAAACAGTTAAATCACTTGAAAGTTCACTGAGATAATATAGAACCAGCATTTAGGTACTGTTTTTTGGAGTCAAAGCGATTTCTCCTATACACTAAGAGATCCAGAAAGATTACTGCTCTGAAATTTTTCTATTAAAGCAAGTATTCTAGCATTATATATTGCAGGGTTCAGTATATTATTTTATGATTTGAAAAACTGAATTCTCATTTTGAGAAAATTAACACACAGGAAAACATACACCAATCTTCTAGTGGAGGCTAGACCATCTTTGCATAAAGAGGCCAATGATAACATGCAAATGCAAATATTTTCTGAGCTGAATTGTCTCATTAACCTCATCCACTATGTCCACTGTCATGATTAAATTCTCATTTGCTGGATTGCAAAATTGTCCACAGTAAACAGATGACATTCCCCTTTAAATGTCTTCACTATTATTTATGTTGTCACTCATTTGTAATACTTAGTACCTCAAAAGCTGTCAGATGGGAAAGGGAAGCAAAATGTTTCACTAATGGTTTCCAGTCATTAAGAATTTAAAAATTTAAAAATTATTTAAAAGGAAAAATATTTTAAATGATTTAAGGATTAGTTAAAGTCTGATTATTAATGTTTATGGCTTTCATAAAATTTAAAACATCATTTTATAACCATAAAGTGTTTATTTCCTTAGCCTAATTAAAATTATATTTAAGATTGTGTTGTACAGAAATCCTACCATATTATTTCAGCATGTAAGTTCATTTCTATTCTATCACATAGCGGAATTTGAATTTTATTCAAAAATAAAACGTCTTAATTTTTGTGACCGCTTACAGATTTTCTTTCCATGAACTATGTACAATTCCTTTGCTAACATTCCAACAATGATTACAAATATGCATTTGTTACCTATGAGTGTTATTCCTCAACATAAAAGATATCAACAAATGTAAAAATATACAGTATACATAACATGAAAAACTTAAGTCAAAGAGAAATTGTGGATATAAATTGAAGCACAGAATTACAGTAATATATAAAATTAATATCATAAGATGACTTTGCCAACTATTTGCAGTTTAAATTTCTAACTACCAATGCATAAGGAGAACTACAAAACTTTTTTGATAGAAAAAACAAAGAAGAGATTAGTCCTGAGAAATTTTATAATGTAAATTCAGTAACATACATTGATCTCAATAAGAGCCTTGAAGTATATACAATGACAGACCCACAGCACCATGCCAATGTCTAATTTAGTAAACTGAATACTTCAGAAGCAAGTCATTGTCACAGAAAATCCAATGCCAATAGGACAGTCACTCAAAGGAAATAAAATGTAGGAGGGAGAGGGTCTCTTCATGTTCCTTAGTGACTGAAACCAGAGGCATACTGAAATAGCAACGTTGAGTTGCATAGGAAACAAGACAATACCAAACTAAAATTGGTAGCAACTGCCAGATCTCAAAAGGGAACGTGCTTTGGCATTAGATTTGTGTTCAAACATTCAAATAGCTTAATATTTAAGGCCAAAGGTCTCACCATTTGTAAAATTAAGATTAAATGAGATACAAATTGAGTATTACATATTCATCATGTGTCTTTATGTAAAAATTCCCCAAAACAAATTTAATTACTATGTATTATAAACATGCCAATACAGAAAGAAAATATTTGGAAGCAGAACTGTTATAGATTTTGGAATATTTGCATATATATATAATGAGACTTCTTAGGGACAAAATGCATGTATAAATACAAAATTCATTTATGTTTCATGTGTACCTTATATGCATAGCCTGAAAGTAATTTTACACTATATTTTACATTTCTGCATGAAAAAGTTTGTGAACATTGAATAAACAAAGGTGTCATTATTTCAGCCACCCATATGGACAATCTATAGTCATTTGTCATCACCACCATTCTTGATTCCAAATTTATACGCTATCAGTATGTAACCACTTTCTTAGACCTACTCACACATAAGTATATAATAGTAAAAATGATATACTATTGATACTGTGAAAAATATTCAGAGTGACTAAGCAGAACAGTTAAGCATCACTAAAATACTTGTGTCAGATGTTAACCAGCAGTAGCAACAAACAGTAACAGAATTTGTTACCACTTATGTTGCTGTGTTTTATTAAAAGGCTACTGTAAACTTTACTGTTTTATGTGAGAAGAAATATCACAAGAAATTGAGGGACTAGGAAATAGGTGTTTATGGAATGAAGAATATTCTGCTGGATAGTTTTAAAAAGTGTTTCCTCTAGAGTCACGTACCTTATTAACAATCGTCTTTGACTTAGAAAATTCTCTTTGATTTTAAACTATCATGACATCTTCTTGTATTATAAATGCATACTGTTCTAGTCCTTCAACAAGCCCATTATACATTTTCACAATGTCATTTACAGGCACTTTTTTCACAGTATTAATCCTGTTGTTTTCATTGTCTCTATTATCATGATCACCTTGATTCAGAACTATTTTGGGTATTTCAACATTAGTCAACAAATGAAATTGAGGCTCATTTTTAACATTATGCAGTGTTTCTCTAGTTTACTTCTATGCATCACTTTCCACCTAGAATTCCAGCACTTTATCCCTTTATTGAAGTCATTGCAACACTATACTCTTCTATATAAGGTGTCACACGTACACAATTTTCCAATTTTTTTAACACCTTAACTTTCTGTGGTACAGATTAGCAGAAATGCTTCTTTTTCTTTTGCTGTTACCCACAGAGGTATGTGCACCCCCTTTTGGCATTTTTCAACAATATCCTTATATCACAGAGCAGAGAATCAGCAAAATAACACAGTAAATAATATAGGATTGGAGGCATCATGTGGAACCTTCTCTTGACATACCTGGTCATATGAATAGAGATTTTATTATCCCTTGTGGGGTAGGGGGATCTGCACGTGCACAAAATGATATCATAGCTAAGGAGGTCTGGGAGGGTCATTTTTCTCTCCCTGGTGATGCTGAGGAAACTGTGTTGTGACCCTGAGTATTGACTCTGATCCATCATAAGGTCAGGTATGGAATTTTCCACTTGTAATATGTTTGCTCTCAGAAGTCTCAGATTTTACAGCATTGTGGATCTTG